AAGTTCGACCGGTGAACCGCAAAACAAATATCAGTAAGGAAATTTATAAATAGCTTTTCGAACGATTCATAATGTCTAATCTAATCTGTGTCTTGTTTTTGGAGAAGGTTGGATGAAAGCGGAAACTTTTCGCCAGGCATTTCGACGTGTAGAAGCTGGAAAAGCACCGACTCCATTGTAAATGGTGAACTGTCGACAGAAGAGAAGCTACATGTTATGGTACCGTACTCTAAATCAGCATGTCTGAAGCGACTAGAAGGTTGGATCGCCAATTGTTAATAAGTCCTGCTGTGGTTTTTGGTATTTCTTTAGCGTAAAGTAAATTAAATTTTTTAGCATATGTTTACTTCTATGCTGCCTGAATCGCTAGTTGCCGAATAAATTTTAAAGATTTATCACTGTAAATAGATCCAACGATGGAATCAGAAGAATTTCTGAATGAGTCAGCATGCCAAATGCTTAAGCACTGTTCTGTAAGGTCATAAGCAACAGAATGAAACTAGATAAATAGAAAATAAAGAGAACAGAAAAGATTCAGGAGGTACAGCACAACTGATAATATTGTTGCCTTAAACCAACTTCTCAGCGCGCAGCTTAATATCAGCACACTTTCTGCATGGCCTTCGTCGACCAGGACAGACTTTAAGATAGCACGCGAAGCCGTATGGACTGTATTGGCAGAATAGGAATAGACCCGTTACATCAATCTGCTAATGGAAGTAAACTGTGAAACTCTCACAAACATGCTGTTTGACATCACTTGGATTGCTGTAAAGAGAAACTGGTACAGCATCTGCACTGTTTGGTTAAATATGGAGTACCGGTAGGTGAACTGAAGGTGTGGGATAAACATCAGTCAGTGTCGAAACATTTACCTGCCTAAGGTTCACTGATGACATGGAACAAGTATTCAATAGAAACAGTCGATAAATATTTACCTGATTACCATGCAGCATGAAAAGGCACCCTACCGGTGATGTATGCATGTCAGGCGTGATCACTCACGAAAGTGGAAGAACGACAGCGATCTGTTTGGAAGAATGTTTGGGGTTTCACATCTCGACCATATCCCAACACATTGATAAGAAAGCATGGTATAAGTGAAGGATATGGTCATTTAAAGCAGAAAGGAGAAGCTGCAATGGGCTGGGCACGTAGCTTGGCTCACGGACGAAAGATGGTCGGCGATTATCGCTGAGTGGTACCATGTGAGTGGATTTGAACCGGTAAATCAGGTCGAATAAAACAAGCTTTTTCGCCCTCAAGAAATGTCACTGAAAGCACTTTCGTTTCAAAGAGGAGTATGCATATGATTGGAACCACAAGGCCTTCTTTGGTATCTTCTAGAAAACGTATGTTTTTAGAGCCACCAGGATTATACTGTGTGCACATTCACGCTTCGCAAGTGCTCAAACACTGAGGAGCTTTAGCTTGTTTCAGTAAGCTTCTCGTGAGCCCATTAAGTGCTTCGAAAAGCAAAGAAACAGATATGAATTTTGACACGTTCTGAGTGAAACGAATTGTAAATTGACTTAAATCTAAAGCTATGGTATGAATAGCACTG